AACATTTTACTACTGAGGCTATTTTTCAATTAGATGGCATCCCGGTAGCATTTAACAAATAGACAGCGGAATATTATCTCTGCACTGGAAATGCTTCACGCCTTGCCGTGCATCTGGTCCATTAATTTAAAACGCACCAAATCTGTTCTCGACAATTGACTAATGAATTACTGTATTATGCCTGTCCGTAGTCTAACATAGTGGATGGGATGTCACATCTCAAGGTGACATCTTGCTCAATCTCCTCGTGAGTCCATCATTTTCACTTTCCATCACACTCAAGAAGAAGAAGAAGAGGAAGAAGAAGGACAGCTTAATGACAACGTACCACCTTCTTCTTGTTGGCGGGAAAACTCCCGTTTGACTTGACAATCACCGTGCACAGCCTCACATCTTCTGGGTGAGTGCACGCCTGCAATTTCACACCACCAAAAAAAAAAAAAAAAAAAGTGTCAAGCAAGCAGCAGTTACAATGTCAGCTCACGAGTGACAAAAAAGGGAAAAAGGGGGCTGTCATAGCGCAGATACGGCAGCCTGGAAGGTCAAAGAAGACTACGTGAGTGCTGGCACATACCGAGACAGCTCAGTGAGAATGTGATCTGCTGCTAAAAGTCTGGCCATTAACTTGACAGCATCATAAAATAGACAGCGAGGTTAAATCACTACAGACAAACAAGTGCAGTTAGCCAGCCGGTAGCTGTATTGAAATGTGATTAGTCTACTCCAAAATGATTATTTTCTCATCATAGCCATTATCTGCTCGTTAGTCGAGATGCGACCGTGTAATGATTTCACAGGCCATTGGATTATATAGGAACAGTAAAGCTATGAAACTCCTTCTCTGTATCATTACACAAACACACACACACACACACACACACACACACACACACACACACACACACACACACACACACACACAAAAAAAGCAAACATACTTTTTTTTGCCGCAGTGTGTCTGAAATGAACACCAGAAATACAAACATGCCATTAAAGAGACAAGGATCATATCATGGGACAGATTTTAGCAACCAAATTAATGCAGGGATTTAAAATTTCCCGGCCCGGGAAGTGTTGCGACAAGATGCAGCCCTAAATGTGATGTAGCCAAGAGAAAAATTAATTGTTATGTAACCCAATCTGCGAACATTCAAAGCATGAGGTATAGTTGGCTCCAAAAATCACTGGTGTGGTTTGTTTGTTCTTGACGGTTTTGATTTTGTTTTCTTCGTTTTCTTGTACCTTGAAGTTGTCCCGCAAGTTGGACAACTTGGAGCACATCACTCGACCTCAGTTACGGCAAGCATCAAAGCTTTAACTCGTGTGTGTTTTGCATTTTCCTTTGGCTTTGTTGGGAGGTCAGATGACAGTGAATATCCACCAGAAGTTAATGACTGTTTCACTTTCATAAGAGTTAAAAATGTCTGTAGTCATGTTGCTGACTAATCAGTCGTCTTACTTTGGTTTATTGATGCTAAGCACTTATTCTGGTTTTATTTATTGATTCGTTTTCTACTTCCTGATTTTGTCACGTTGTCATTTGCAAAATAGGATCCTAAGTCAGGGCAGCATGGTGTTCCACTGGGTAGCACCCCGGCCTCAAAGTGCAGAGGTCCAGGGTTCGATTCCGGTCTCCCTGTGTGGAGTTTGCGTGTTCTCCCCCCGTGCCTGCGTGGGTTTTCTCCGGGTACTCCGGTTTCCTCCCACTTTCCAAAAAAATGCATGGCAAGTTAATGAAATTATATTACATACATAAGTGTTATTTGATTTTACTGAACTTCACCAGATGGATTCACCAGCATTACTAAGCAATGATGACATCTGTTTCATTCTTCAAAAACAATCTTGAGTTCTGCCAAATGACATCAGCTGCGCATCAATAGCAGATTGCTTTTCCTCTTCACTCCCGTTGAATGCTCACAAGGCTTTCTACCACAAAGAGCAGACGTTCTCTCGCCCCCACAGGGCATCACATTTGGTAAATGCAGATCGAGACAGCCTGTTTCAAGCTCCAAGTGGGGCTCTTGTTGGCTGAAATGCCAACCTTATAAGCAGTCACAAAGATTTTTGGGTAGCGTTTCCATTTATTTTACATCTTGCTTATCCTCATACAGGAGCAAGGTGACAAGAATTGCCAAAAATGTGAAAATGCGTACCGTATTTTCCGCACTATAAGGCGCTTCGGAGTATAAGGCACACCTTCAATGAATGACCTATTTTAAAACTGTTTTCATATACTGTATAGGGCGCATCGCATTATAAGGCGCATAGAATAGAAGCTAAAGTAGTGGCTGAGGTTACGTTACACATCCACTAGATGGAGCTACGCTAAAGGAATACAATACAGCTTTATTTATATTGCACTTTCACAACTGCTGCAGCTGTACCAAAGCGCTTTAAAGAATATTTAAAATACTACAGCCAAGAAATCTGAATATTAATCTATATATAAGGTTCATCTGATTATAACGCGCACTGTCGGCTTTTGAGAAAATTGAATGCTGTTTACATATTGCTTATCCTCACACAGGAGCAAGGTGACAAGAATTGCCAAAAATGTAAAAATGTGTGGAGGATTTTTGAGGCAACTGGAATGCTCTTCCCATGTTTTCTTCTTTTAGAAAATTCTCGAAAATGGCGGCCACTTGTCATGTTGCTCGTCACAGGTGATATGAAGCCTATCAGTTAGGTACTTTTTTTTTTTTGCCATGTTTAATGTACACAAGTCCCTTGAAAATATTGCTTCTGTGTGGTGACTGTGCAAGGTCATGTGACATAGTACGGAAAATATGGTAGTTTGACTGGGGCGGTCACTTCAACCTGAGTATAGTGCAGCAAGAATTTGGAAAATCGAACAATGGATTCTGGAGAAATTGGGTCAGAAAAAAAATGCCTTGCACTTAATACGTAATATTGCCTCTCGAAAGTTTGGTCCAAAATTAAATTTGAGTAAAACAGTACTAGTGAATTATTTCTTACCTTTTCAACCGCTCCGCTCCGATTCGCTGAGTTTGAGTTAAAAATATCTATCGATGGATTTTAGAGGCATCTGGAATGCTCTTTCCATGTTTTCTTCTTTTAGAAAATTCTTGAAAATGGCAGCCACTTGCTAGTCAGTCACAGGTGGTATGAAGCCTATCAGTTGGGTACTTTTTTTTTTTTTTTTTTGCCATGTTTAACGTACATGAGTCCCTTGAAATTGTTGCTTCTGTGTGGTGACTGTGCAAGGTCATGTGACTACCTGACTGTCTGATTTGTCAAAATAAGTGAAACGTCACCGTGGTTGGTGAAACAGTATTGACACACTAAAATAGATTACACAATCAATAATCCAGACCCGCCAGACCTAAATACAAACTGAAAATAAAATACAGCCCAATGCGAAATGTTATTTTGAAGAACCGCATTTTGACAAGTGTCATGGAACAGATTATGGTCAAACTTGGGAGTACTCTTGTACTGTTTATACAGTAGTTACCGTGGTTGGTGAAACAGTATTGACACATTAAAATAGATTACACAATCAATAATCCAGACCTGCAAGACCTAAATACAAAATGAAAATAAAATACAGCCGATGCAAAATGTAATTTTGAAGAACCGCAGTTTGACAAGTGTCATGGAACAAATTGTGGTCAAACTTGGGAGTACTCTTGTACTGTTTATACACGCTGACAAACACTCACCTTGAGTGACGTGGCCACGCCAGGGACGGCGGCCTGACCCTGTCGCTGCTTGGGTTTGGTGTTCACACGCTTCCTGCGCTTCCTCAGAACCACGTAGATTTGCACGTAAACCAGCAGCGTGATGATGAAGGGGACATAAAAGGACACGATGGAGGAGTACACCACAAAGGCCGGGTTGGCGATCACACACAGCGACGCTTCCCGAGTTGCTGTGAGGACAAAGGAGAAGAATCAAATAAAATGGAAAAAAAAAGGGGGATTTGTGTTCCGTCCCTTTTGATGACCTGTGTGGAGTTTCATCCCATATTGCAAAAGGCTTCATTGGCGCCTAACATGCCCGTCCTTGAAATTGTATTTGCGGCAACAACTGAGTGATTGTGTGTTATGTTCAATTTCTTGAAAATACATCAGAAAATGTCACTTCGCCTCAACTGGGGGTTATTTACGCTATTCCGTTTGTTTGGCTCCTTCCCCGTTGCTCGGAACATGACAATCCTTTTTATTGCCACCATCTTGGGGACTCAAACAAGTGAGTCATTCCGGTGCCAAGCACCTCTGAGTCCAAGCGCCTGATCTCCTACTGTCGTCAAACTCACCGTCACAGGCAAAGTTAGTCAACTTCAACTTTTTTCATTTCCAGACGGACGGTGGCTCATGCCAAAGGTCAGAACGCTGTGATTTTTTTTTTTTGTCTCATTGCGGCTTCGTGATGCTTTCACAGGGAACAGTCTGCTCTAGCCAGCAAATAATATTATCAAGTTTGACCCTTGAAAATGAACAAGTCTCAATGTACTATCAAGTGTGAAACCACAAAACGGATGCATAGGCAACGCAAGCACAATGTGAACATCACGAGGCCTGTTTTTTTTTTTAATTTATTTATTTTTACTTCTTCTTTTTTGTTTTCAGAAATTGCGTGCAAGCACATACCGTGCCATCTCTTACCTGTGTTATTCAGCCCAAAAAGAAGAGGACAGGATATGGCGAAAGAGAGGACCCACACCACTGAGATCATGATCGTCACCCTTCTTCTAGAACTGTAGCGGGTGTTGTACAGCATCGGCATTGCAACTGCTGTGTAACTGAGACGGAGGGGAAAAGCAATTTCGTTTCAATTGACATAAACAGTATGAGATGGAAGACGAAATGATCATGCTTAAACATGAAAAAAACAAAAAACAAAAACAATCAACTCACACAGGCACTATCAAGTAATTGTTGTACAGGTTGAGGCCAGGGCATTTTCTGACTCATTTTTGACATTCTGTTTTCCATTTTTTCCCCATCTCCTCCAGGATGACTCATTCATACATGCTCGAGACCTCGAGTGTCCAAACTGTCCCATGTTTCAATTCCAAGCGGCGACTCTCAATCCCAAATCCGCCTCCGCGCTCCGCTCCTCTCTCCTTACCCACAGTTCCACAAGCCATCCATCCAGCCGCACTAACGCAGACTGTCCAACAGCGCCGTCATCCCCGCTGAACAAAACGGCGCTGTGAAAAATGCTGCCCATTACAGGCGCAAAAAAACACAGCCGCCACGGGGCTGTCCGGCACCGACCTCCCAATCAAAATCGCAGCTGGCACACGCGTGCTGGCGAGAAGGCGCAACCACCAAGCACAGATTCTTTTGCTTTGACGAATGTCGTGGTCAAAAAATGAACAAGACATTAAAAGGGAACAAACTGCGGGTGCAAACGAATTGCAATGTAAGGTGCAATCAGCAGGTGCAGTTCATTTTTTATGGACTCAGCCCTCAAGAGTGCTGCAGGGACCGCTTCGCCTTTAACCTGAGCATTTTAGTTGACCTTGTTATAACAACCATGATTGTGGAGTGGCCTTAATCACCAGGAAAGGCATAGTTTCCTGTAGTGGATTGTACATTGATTTTTTTTCTTATTTTTTTTGAAGGGCTCTTGAAATGAATGTCTTCTCTTCACGCCAATTGGGAAAATTGCATGGTGGCAAAATACTTCAGTTCACATAATTGTGCAGTGAAGACTTTCATTTTCTGATGGCAAAATTCACGAACTGTTTTCCTGTTTATTTTTGCTTTAACTCCCTTTGATTTTATGTCAGAATTTTTACTTGATGTACACAGAACTGTGGTTGCTTTGAAAGTGCTCAATGAATAAAATTGTATTGAGTTTGAGTATGAATTAGTCCCCAAGAGCATCTGCCGCTTCAGGAAAAGTAATGTTCATTGATTTTGCTGACAAAAAGTCAAATAGACTGTTTGTATTTTTTATTTTTAGCAGAGGTCGCCAAACTATACTATACTTTTGTATTATTTTTTTATATTTCTGAACCCCCTCCACAATCTTGCCCCCATCCAATAGAATGCAAAAAGGTCAGGTAAGGGGAAAAAAAATTATTCAGAATGCAGTGGACATTTTTATGTTCAAGGCAGAGCAAAGTGTGTTCGTTTCATCTGTCGAGAGGCTGTGGTGGTATTCAAATACGATCTGCGCTGATGCTATGAATTACGTCACAAAGATGTTTGTATGATAGTTTGCAAGGCCAAATATGAGGCGGGCAAAAAAGTTAAAAAGTGGACTCAGCAAATACGAGCTCAGCTGAACCAATTTGATAAACAAGAACCCGTTGATGTATGCACACGGGGAAGAAACAAACGGTCCTATCATGCGGAAAATAGGACGCTACCTCCAGCGGTTCAAGTGAATCACACATTTCATCCTGGTTCTCTTGTAAAATAATTATCCTTTAGGTGGACACTTAGAAGTTTTCAAGCAAGAGGAAGGGAGTCCTGGAAACCGCCCCAGTCATCCCTCGAGGATCAGCAAGCGCACACCCGGAGTCTTATGAATAACATCTAAATGCAAATCGTGGTGCCGCTTACCATTGGGATATCTACAGACATCCATTTCAAATACAAATGATGATGTATCAGGCGATTATACGGGATGACGTGATTTGTATGTCTCTGGAAAAATGACCGAAATACATGTTTGCTAACTGAATCCAGTGAGAGGTGTGAGCATTTGTTTTGTTCTGTTGTGCAGTGAAGACTTTCATTTTCTGATGGCAAAATTCACGAACTGTTTTCCTGTTTATTTTTGCTTTAACTCCCTTTGATTTTATGTCAGAATTTTTACTTGATGTACACAGAACTGTGGTTGCTTTGAAAGTGCTCAATGAATAAAATTGTATTGAGTTTGAGTATGAATTAGTCCCCAAGAGCATCTGCCGCTTCAGGAAAAGTAATGTTCATTGATTTTGCTGACAAAAAGTCAAATAGACTGTTTGTATTTTTTATTTTTAGCAGAGGTCGCCAAACTATACTGTACTTTTGTATTATTTTTTTATATTTCTGAACCCCCTCCACAATCTTGACCCCATACAATAGAATGCAAATAGGTCAGGTAAGGGGAAGAAAAGTTCTTCAGAATGCAGTGGACATTTTTATGTTCAAGCCAGAGCAAAGTGTGTTCGTTTCATCTGTCGAGAGGCTGTGGTGGTATTCAAATACGATCTGCGCTGATGCTATGAATTACGTCACAAAGATGTTTGTATGATAGTTTGCAAGGCCAAATATGAGGCGGGCAAAAAAGTTAAAAAGTGGACTCAGCAAATACGAGCTCAGCTGAACCAATTTGATAAACAAGAACCCGTTGATGTATGCACACGGGGAAGAAACAAACGGTCCTATCATGCGGAAAATAGGACGCTACCTCCAGCGGTTCAAGTGAATCACACATTTCATCCTGGTTCTCTTGTAAAATAATTATCCTTTAGGTGGACACTTAGAAGTTTTCAAGCAAGAGGAAGGGAGTCCTGGAAACCGCCCCAGTCATCCCTCGAGGATCAGCAAGCGCACACCCGGAGTCTTATGAATAACATCTAAATGCAAATCGTGGTGCCGCTTACCATTGGGATATCTACAGACATCCATTTCAAATACAAATGATGATGTATCAGGCGATTATACGGGATGACGTGATTTGTATGTCTCTGGAAAAATGACCGAAATACATGTTTCCTAACTGAATCCAAACAGTGAGAGGTGTGAGCATTTTTTTGTTCTGTGCAGCCAAGCAGAACATGTAAAAATCAATATTTTCTCTCTCTCGCTATCTTGATACACATACTGTATATATCCATCCATCCATATATTCACTCTCTGAGTCACTTATCATCACAAGGAGCCTATCCCAGCTGTCTTCGGGCAGCAGGCGGGGGACACCCTGAACCGGTTGCCAACCAATGGCAGGGCATACAGAGATGAAGAACCGTCCGTGCTCACATTCACACCTCGGGATAATTTAGAGTGCTCGATCAGCCTGCCATGCCTGTGTTTGGAATGTGGGAGGAAACCGGAGTACCCTAGAGAAAACCCACGCAGGCACGAGGAGAACATGCAAACTACACAAGGCCAGAGCTGGGATCGAACCCACAACCTCTGCACTGTGAGGTCGACGTGCTAACCACTTGACATGATTTATATCGCTTTTTTTGTCATTGTGTTAAACTCTATGTTTTCCTCAGATCAGGTTATTGGATTTTCCTTGTCCTTTTCGTGCCAAGTGATTTCCGTTTGTCTTTTGTACTTGCCTCTTCAAAGCGTTTTTGTTTACTCTCGGTTTATCCTGGTTCTTTGTTACCAGCGTGTTTTGTTATACTTTGCCGGTGTTGTGTTTTCTTTCATAAGCATTTGTTCCAAAATCCAATTCGGAACCGTGACAGCGGAGAACATGCAAACTCCACACAAAAAGGTTTGGGCCAGATTTGAACCCACAACCTCTGCACTGGCGGAAGTGCTAATCAGTTCACCACCGTCCCGCCCTCGAACATATACATACATGATATAATTCAGATTTTAAGCTGTATAGCTGTATCTCTAATTCAATGCCCTCCTACACAAGTAATTAGTTGTTTGTCTGACCACAGCGAAGGTTGTGATCCGCTTCTAAAAATCAACAGCTCCTAATTAACTCTCTGCTTTTCTTCCCCTTGTGAAAAGTTACAAGTAAAAACATAATTCCAGCCACAGTCATAAACTAGAAGGGCTGCGGTAGAGCGCACACCTTTCCCAACAAGACTCATTTCAGTACTTCATATCTTGTCTTATTAATTGGTTCCTGCTGGTTGCAGCTTTGAATACTGATGTTAATAAACCTTTTCACTTTATTGAAGAATTGAATTAAGTTTCGGGAATAACTTCACATGCCCTTCATATTTTCTTATGCATATCAACATGTACGCAAAATTTACATGTTCAGAATGGAAGTATGAATCAGACATAAATGTATGCATGTTTGTGAACGTGTTAGTTCATAATCTTGATTCAGTCTCTATCCAAACACACACAGTCTTCTGCGGATGGACTTTTTACGTACAAATATTCATTTTAGTCAAATCATTATCGAAGCAACTTACTCTCCATATTTTCATGTGGAAAATGCTCTATTCCACAAGTACTGACTTGTCACTTTGTATGACGTGAGATGGTGTGTTGTAAAAGTGAATGGGGTTTTTTGGTGTGATTGACGATGATGGGCATGAACTGAGCAAAAGGTTGCAACAGCTCTGCTGTCATTCATAAAGTAAATATTACCTTCAAAAAAAAAAATCATGCAAAATTGCCAGGAAGGAAAGAGCTACGTGATCAATGGTTAACTCACCGATCAATGCTGATGGCACACAGATTGAGGATGCTGGCTGTACACATCATCACATCGAGGGTGACAAAGATGTCACAATGGATCTTGCTAAAGCGCCACTCCCTGACGACCTGCAAGAAAAAAGAAAAAAAATAAAGAGAAAAACACCAAGTGGAAGCTTAGTGCAACCATCAATAAAAATAAAGCAAAGGCACTCAGGAAAAGCTCAGCAGAAATTGTTTGCGGAACAAACACAATTTTGGGGGATTTACACATCAGACGCAAGTGAGCAATTGCAATTTAATGCTTGTACAGTGAAACTCCTCTACAACGAAATCATGACAAGTGAGCAATTGCAATTTAATGCTTGTATGTGATACTCCTCTTTTGTTCTTGTGGTGTTCTCCCATTTTTTTTACATGCCTGCGTTTCCACTTTTTTATCTATGCATATTCCCTTGTTCAGACTTTAAACAGATCCACCACGCTGGGAATGAGCACAGAAACATGAGAGATGTGATACACTGACGACGGAGGCTGCGCGGCCGCAAAAATGAACGGAACATTGTCCAATCCAGAAACTTGTGAATAATTTGTCTTTCAACTTGATACAAGTACAGCTCTGCATAACATGTTATCCTTATTAACAAAAATAAATAAATATACTGTGAATGTGCTAAAGAGCTTTATTTATGTTGTTTATACTCCCTGTGCACACTCTAACAATGAGACTGCAACTGCCACCCACTGTGGTGGAAGTGCAATTACACTTCTAAAAAAAACCCTCAACACCCCCAACATCCCATCGTACACCCCAGGATGAACCGCTCCACTATTTGAGAAGAGCTGGTGGATGCCACTGATGGCATTCGGCTCCTGACTGCATTAAAAAAAAAAAAAGAGTAAGACAAAACTTTGTGACTGCATGCAAACCAAAGCTCTTGATGATTTATGGCCTCCGAAGTGCAAAAAACAAGTGCTTAAGTCGAAGGGAAAATTGTGCAGCACCAAAAAATGCCCATATTTTAATATTGCCACTGAGTTTTACAGTGTGTCGGGAAAGCGTTTCATATCTATCATAATGTTCAAGCTCTGATAAAAGTGCTGCGATCTCAAAAAAACAAACAAACCAAAAAAAAAGCGATGTCTATTCCTTGGTTGGTTACCTTTGTTTACGAGTGTTTTTACCTGTGCTTGTAGCCCGCCTGTGGCTTTCAATTAAAGACGGCGCATTTATAAGCTCCAGGTTACTCCAAGCACCCCATTATGAACGTAACATGACAGGCCACACACGTCTTGCCTGACACGAAGCATAGCTCTGAAAAGGGTATTGGATATATGCATCAGCGGGTCCATTAATCTTTGTCCCTGAGGCCTTGTCATCCCAAAAATTAAGCATCAAACCTTTTTGCTCTCATTGACGGTGATTGCACAAAGATTAGACATCCTAATGATCGGCCCGACTTCAAGTGCCAACCTCTCCCCTTTTGTTCTCCTGTGCATTTTTTACCCTTTAGAACCTGATACGTTTCTTGGCGGACTCCTTTTACTTTCCATCCCTGCTATCACTTCTTCATCTCAAACTCCTTGGACTTAATTTAGAGCACAAACACAAGTCGGATCACATCGGTGCAGGCAGGACAATCCTTTGCAGTAACGGGAAACCGCTCGCTTTGTCACTTTTTGACAGCGACACCCAAACAAAAGTGCGTTTGCCGGAGGCGGCCGCAGCTGTTTTGGTTTCTGCACACTAAAACTGGAGCCAGCAAATATGCTTTCACAAGACCTTCCGATTCAAATTGTGTCAGCATTCTGGCATCGTATATGCTAAGGTGTTGAGATGAGAAATTGAAAATGCAGTCAAAGAGGCCGGGGAGCCGACAACGGTGGCGGAGGGAGTCATTTCGGATGCCAGTTGAAATTAAAGTGAAAGGAAAATGGAGAGAGGTGTGTGTGTGTGTGTGTGTGCGTGTGTGTGTGTGTGTGTGTGTGTGTGTGTGTGTGTGTGTGCATACATAATACGGTATTAAAATATGTCATGTCAATCTAATCTGAACAGGGAATTTAGAATCAGCTGTGCTGTGCCATGTAATGTGTATTGGTATTTATTTATTTTTTCCCACAATTCCTATTTCAAGTTGGCAGTGGACTAAAATGTCATCGGTTTTCTTCTCTCTTCTAATTGGTTAGTCAGAGCAAAACTTTTTTCAGCCAAATTTGATCAGCAGCACAGAGCGATGTGCACGGCTACTATATTTGATGAGAAGCATCTCCGGTCAGCAAGTTTTTTTTTTTTTTAATTGAGATTTTTTTATGTTTTCATCATTTTTCTTACAGAAATATCGACTCTGAACTGCTCTGAACTCGAGCCTTTGAATTATAATTTCAGATGGTTTCAATGTAGTGTACAAAGTACGCTGTATCACAACAACTATTTCTTGTTCATTTGTTGATTCGGATGTTTTAACTCTGAATAGGCATCATTGTTTTTGTCTTAGTCCAAAGGATGACAGCCACTAACTCAAGACTTCATGAATCCATAATAAGAGACACAATCTGCAACAATTCTGCTTTAACTAATTTGATTTAATGTCGCCATGGTATTTCTTGAACAACGTATTTATCATTGCGGCTCCACAGTTGTTTGATGATGCCTAGTAAGGCACCAATATAACCATGAACAGTTTACAGTCACAGTGGAGGAGAAGGTTTTCGAGCCTCGTCCCCATACTGCACCTGTTCACACAGTACATGTGTTTGAAAAAAAATAAAATAAACAAAACACACCACATGACACAGTTTTGACCAAGAACGTAATTAGCGCACTTTTAGAGAATGGGAATTTTGATCTAGATGAGCAAGCCTCACTTGAGCAATTCACAATCCCCGAGATTTCAGCTGTGATCATGCTATATTGTAATCTATTTTGGAGATACTACTTTTTGTGAAATCATTTTTCACCATTTAATCATTTTCTTTTTTTGGCTGTGGCTCAACTTTTTGCAATAATCTTTCCTAAAATTCTGTTACCGCGGGACACCTTTCTGCCGTATGTACAGAAAAAATATGCACCACCGCCGCCATGACGTATAGATTTAAGCGCTGTAATCGGATCAGAGTGCTAATCCTCATGATTTACTATACAGTGAGACAGTATATTACATGCCATGACTTCAAGCCTGGTGGTCAAAAAGAACCCCCTTTTACGCCTCCGCCGCCACCAGAGAAACTGAACAAGCTTGGAAGTGAGGTACCACTGCAAGGTAGACGTGTTTCAAATTTTAAGTACCTCCAAGTAGACGACCCAGGGCATGACCAGCGTGGCCACCAGAAGGTCAGCGACTGCCAGGCTGACGATCAAGTAGTTGGTGGTGGTCTGCAGGGCTTTCTCCCGCGACACCGCCATGCACACCAACACGTTGCCGAAGACGATGACGAAGATGAGCAGCGTGAGCAGCATGGCGTAGTAGTTGTACGCATGCTTCTGCTCTTGATCGGTCTCGTTGAAGCCCCAAGTTCCATTGTCATAGAAACTGTCGTTGTAAGCATAGTGGGTAAAGACATCCATTAGCTGTGAGTGATGCAGGCCACCAACCGGCCCTGGAAACACAACAAAGAAAACACAAGTTAGACGAAGGATTTTAGGAGGGAGGGAGGGGGAGGGGGGTAAGAAGAAGAAAAAAAATTCCCTGAGAAACAGACACAGTTTCCCCTTGTGTGAAAATATCCGAATGCAGGTTGCAAGAGCACTGGAGATGTTTAGACAGGGAGACAAAGATGGTACAACCCTGCACGCTTCTTCACTCAAACTGTCTTCATGTTGCTTCCGAACTACAAATGATGACTGTAGATAGTATTTGTCTGAAGTATCATCCCTTCTATGACTGGCCTACTTTAAAACAGTTTTCATATATAGGGCGCACCACCGCATTGCAAGACATATAGAATCGAGGCTTTTATAGTGGCTGCGGTTGCGTCTTGCATCCACTACATGGAGCTACGCTAAAGGAAATAAAATACAATACAATACAGGTTTATTTGTGGAGAGCATTCACAACTACTGCAGCTGTAACAAAGATACAAGCTTTGTGAATGAGGTGAACGATTTCTTCAAGTAAATCCCCACAGTGGGATGAATACAATTCTCAGGTTTCTCAAAGTAAATTGGAACATGTTTATTTTTGTATGTCCGAAACGGTACTTAAGAGCTCAACATGGGACCAAAAATTGCATCTTTTTCTTCCAACTTGATTTTTTTTTTTTAACTAATAAATCGGACGGTAGTGAAAAAAATTACAACTGCAATTGCAATCTATTTGTTTTATCGAACAACTGATAAAGTATGAAAGAGAATGAAGGGAATTTTCACAAATGAACAAATGCTTGGGTCTCCCGAAAAGGCCAGGAGTGAGAATATGACTGTTTCGTTTCTAGATTAGAAGATAGTGAGGTTCCGGGCAATGTTGATATGGCTGAGAATGAGGAGACAGACAGTGTAGTGACAGAGGATGACAGTGTTATGGCAAGTGCAGACAGCGGGAGATCATAGTAAGCAGGAAGAAAGAAATGGAGGAGTGTCACAGACGGGTCATTTCCATTAGGGGATTGGGAGCGAGCAGACGCGCGATAGCGGAAATCCGTGTACAATTGATGTCCATTGAAATACACTGAGGAATAAAAAAAAAGTCGTGGACCATTAAAAAAAAAAATGCATTTCACACAAAAAAATGGGGGAACTCCCTCAATCCCCCCACCCCCTCTCCAAAAAAAATACTAAATATCGAAATCAACTTGATAACTTTTTGGAGATAAAATGCGATTCTGTGGGTGCCGTGAGTAGACGGGGTGTTCAAATACTAAGCTTATAAACAAGAAAAAGGTGTGTAATAGGGTTTGGAATTCTTGATCCTTGATGAAAGCACGTACCAGATATCTGATTAACAGTCTCGTTTTTAACGGAGAAAATGTATTCTTAATTGTTTTGCTTAATAAAGTGACAACAAAGTAAATTTTTAAACACCGAGAAGCATTTCACATGGCATCCTTGTAATATACATGACACAACCACATTTTGGAAAATGGCCCGAAATGTCTGAGCAACAACACTTTTCATAGTGTGCAATTATGTAGGGTGATGTTCCAAAGACAAAAACAAAAGCATTCACTCTCCTTCATAAACACCATATAGTGAGGTCATTTTCACATCATAAAATTATTATGATGCCTCAAGGATCAACAACAGAAGCCTGCCGTGGTTGGGGAGGATATCGCAAAAGCCCGAGGCGAACCTGCAGCAACTTGGTGTGCAAAACCTTACAATACACACGAAAAGAGTGTTAACATCACGAACGGGTCAAGGGCAAACAGTGTTGTAACAACGGCAAAAGCGAATAAAATATTATGGAATCAGTAACGTCAACAAAAGCAAAGTAGGTGAAAAACTGACACAATAAGACGACATAGACTGAAATTTCATTGCTCGGGGGATATGTTTCAACTGCCCACTCGCAGTAGTGGATGTATTCAATCAATGATGACTAAGAGTGAATAGGCACCACTAAAAAAACGGACTGACATACTTATTCAAACTTTACAAAGGTATTTCTTTTCTGTTATTCCTGACCAGGTTTGTGAACCCACTACCGCAAGGATTTTTGACCCACTCCTCCGTTCACATACTGTCCAGCTCTTGAATGATTCACGTGTAAGCTCTGATCACTATCAATAGAAGTGCCTTCAATAAAATGTTTGATTAAAAAAGGAAAAAATAAATAAGGAAGGACGATACATTCCGTTGACTGAGGCTACAAGCACATAAGAGGAAATTTTACCTGTCAAGTGCCCACACAAAGAAGCCGCTTGTTCCAATAAATGACTCGTCGCATCAGTGCAACTCATGCACTGAGATTACGTCGTGCAAACTAAACTTCGGGATGGATATATAGCATAGAGATTCAGGATTTCCCTGTCTTTGATGTGCTAGCTTGGTAATAATTAGGCCGCTAACAAGTACAAGAAGACCTAAGATAGTTGTTCAACTGTAATTCAACTGCATGTACTCCAAAAAAGTAGTTCGCTACACTTATATTGTATGAACAAGGAATGAGATTCATATACATGTGGTGTATTTTGTCTTCCGCAAGAAAGTATTTATGGCACGATTTGAGCAAGGAGCATGGATGTTAACAACATTTCACATTACACTCCATTACAATGTACAGAAAAACATTATTTGAAGAAAAGCCAGTGGAGTGATTCCATAAATCTGTTCATCCATTTTCCGATCCGCTTTATCCTCTCAAGGGCTGCGGGGGGTGCTGGAGCCTATCCCAGCTGTCTTCGGGCAAGAGGCGGGGGACACCCTGAACTGGTTGCCAGAGACGAACAACCATCCGTGTTCATACTCACACCTAGGGACAATTTTGAGTGTTCAAACAGCCTGCCATGCATGTTTTTGGAATATGGGAGGAAACTGGAGTACCTGGAGAAAACCCACGCAGGCACGGGGAGAACATGCAAACTCCACACAGGAAGGCCGGAGCTGGAACTGAACCCACACCCTCCGCTTGGAGAGATTCCATAGCTTATAAATGAACTGGCCGCAACGGACATATTAATTTAACATTCTGGTTTGTTTGATTTTTTGCTTTTGTAATCCTAAGGGGTGTTTCTAATATGTTGACACTCATGCAGCTAAATGAAGTAACAAAAATGTATCTAAATCGGTATGACGCAGCACGAACTTGGACCTCAATAACAAAGATATTCACGACCTCAATGTATAAATACATGCGCAACTAATGTTGTGGCCAAACTGTCTTATTTTTTCAACTTCTCAGTGACTGCAAATGCAGGATAGGGTAGATAATCGCATCATCCTCCCTCACATGCTGGATGTAAATATGCCAACATAATGAAGCGATGTCCATACTTTGCAAAAGCATGCTGTGCGTGCATGTGTGTGTGTGTGTGCACGCACGTGTGAATGAGAGCATGTGCAACTGCATTTTTCCAACCACGTAATCAGCCTATTTAATAAGAGAAAATGCCAGCGGAGGCTGCCTCGGTGCATTGAGAGATAGTATAATTACCACAGAGAAACAATAAGAAAGTCGAAGTGAGTGAGCTGACTGAAGCAAGAATAATGTGCTCCAGGGGAGAAGTTTTTGGATATAGCATCCAGATGCCCTGCGCTGTCGATTCGTCTTTAGCTGCTGTTTACGTACGTGTGAAACTGCTGCATAGCTACTGTTTTTATCCTTGGATACGATCATTCAGTCTTAACTAGTTTGTGGCCTGCAGAACAGCAGCTATGGAAGTGAAACGATACACCCACGTCTGCAATGATCAACCATCCCTCGTCTCCACTCTGATAGAGGGATTGAATGATGGATAACCGGACGGACTAATAGACAGAGAATTTGCGTTCAAAAGCATAGGTATAATATTAAACTGTTTTTTTTAAAAACAGAAATAAAATTGAAGTCATAATTTGAGTGCAGACTGAGGGTCAGGAAGTAGGTACACGCTCTGCTCCACTGACAGACTGAAGAAAGTCTTCCTCCCCCATACCATGTGGCTTTTTAATTCCACTGTGGGAAGGAAACTAATATCACATTCCCTTTTCAGTGATCTGTGTGTTTTTGTTTTTGTTGTTTTTGTTCATTTTTTTTTGGGGGGGGCAGAGTAACTATAATACTATTGAATATTTGCTGTTGCGAACAAAGATCCGATCCTCGCTTCAGTCCTGTTCTTGGCAAAAATACACAAACGAGCTGGTATGCTGACAGACTTCAACTCTGAAAGAAGAAAGAATAAGACAAACATGAATTAAGAAGTGTGTGTGTGGGGGGGGGGATACCACTGTGATTGGCTAAAGTGTGAAAAGAGGCGGGTCTTGGGGTGGAAAACGCTTATTGGTGCAATATCCCCACTATCCTTACAAGAAGGGGTTCATAAAATGCGGGTAGAATGGGCATCAATTATACAAGGATTTTGGAGATTTGTGGACTGCCCCCAGTCTCTAAAATTTTAGCTCAGGGACCATCTGGTCTTGGTTAAAAAAAAGTCTGTCTGTTATCCTGTCTAGCCAACAGCTAGTTTTGCCAAAACCCAAAGTAATTTGGGGGAATATGCAATAAACCCAAGACTGAACAACGAGACACACGGAGACACTAGAGCCTGATCATTCTAAATTACGAAATTGCAACACTGATTTCAATACAATGTCAGCACCATGTTTGGTGTTTCCTTAAGCCAGGGATGTCAAGCTCATTTTCGTCACAGGCCAAATTTTACTTTCTGTTCCCCTTGGAGGACTGAAATCATATGAAGAAGTCAAGAATGACACTTTATTCAACTATTGTTTAAGTTACTGCAATGAGGGGTTTGGCCACAAGAAAATGCTTAAAATATCTCTCTTATTTATTACATATGAGAATCATAAATTTTGGTCGAGAATCATCATGGAAGTTGACATGTTTGATTTACTTGGCAGGCCACTTAAAATGATGTGGCGGGCCAGATCTGGCCCCCGAGCCTTAATTTTGACATCTGTGATTCAAGTAATTACTAATTCTGTTTGTATAGGACTGATTGGG